CCGAGGGCTTGGCGTACACCGCGTTCAACGGGAAGCCCGGATCACCTGTTAGTTAGAGACAATTAGACATTAATAGCCAATAAAAACGGAGCATTTAATGGCCAGACAACTGGTCCGGACACTCACCGGGTATATCAAAGCGGCTGATGGCCAGGGCGTACATCTCGGCCACCGCCTGTTCCCGGGTCTGCAAGCGTTGCAATCGCTTCAGACATTCGGTGATATAAAGCGTGAGATATATCAACACTCGGTCGGCGTTGGACTGGATCTCAAACGTCTTGAAGAACACATTCGGCTTAAAGTAGAGCAACGCCTCGTCGATGATGTCCAGCTCCGGGCCCTGCGGTGTGACCGGCGGTGTCGGCAGACCATTGCCATTGTGATGGCCGTTACCGTTGGTCACCACATGATGGTCACCACCGGCGGGCGACTGCAGTGTCGGTGACCACGACTGTATGGGTCCCCTGAACTTCGTGCGGAATGGCAGCAGCGCTATGTTGGCCACCGATTTGCCGCAGACCAGCTTCGAGTGATACGATGGCATTGTCTTCAGCGGTGTATTGTCTTGTACTATGTCTTGACGGGCGGCGGAGACCTCTATCCCGCGGTCAGCGATCGGCGGTCAGACACCTCTACTCCCAGTTTGTGGTAAACACTTGTGATAACCGGTACAGAGGTTTGTGGTCTTACTCTTGAGGTTGTGTGCGGTCGGGCGACTGCGCGGCCTCACCGGCACTGCGGGTGTTTACAAGTGTTGTAATTATTGTATTTATTTACTTTTAATTTGCGGTTTTAATTAAGATTTATAATGAAAATAAACAAAACACTTGACATGAGTCTCGCATTCACTGCCATATTATTCAATACACTTAACGTTGTGTTTGCCGTCTCTCATAGCAACCAATGCTTACCATTGGGTATATGTGTTGGCTATTAAATGGTACTGATTTGACGGTTAGTACAGTATATGAGTTAACACTGTATGGGTTGTGCCGATTGTTTGGTACCATTTATGAGCATAAATACATGTATTAAATTGTTTATGTGTGGACTATTCATATACAATGTGATGATTTTTGTTAGGAAACAAATTAAATATGTAATGTAAATATTTTTAATTATATTTTTAAACTCTATGTTAATTGACATTCTTGATTTACAATTTTTATAAAAATGTAGTAAAATAAATAATGAAAAAACTGGTCACACTATTTGTGTACATACTATACGTTACAAACAACAATGGAAACTAAAACTTTCACAACAATCCACATACAACGTTACACATTAAAGGGGTGGGGGTAGACACTGTAATACAAAACTTTCACAAACTTGTAAATTCATTAAAACAAAACTACCTAGATCCATTGAAAGCACGTAAAAATCAGCCCTCAGGGCCAACCCTTCATCTCGTCGGCCAACTTCACCAGGGTCTCCTTCACCACCTTATTGTCACCGGCAAACGGTTCCAACTTCTTGACCAACACCTTCATAGCCTTGAAGCACTCGTCAAACAGGGGGCCCGCCTTCTGGTCGGCCGGCAAGTCCTTCAACAAGCGGCGCAGGTCTGTCCACAGACGGTGTGTTTTGACCGCCCAATCGGCGTGAGTCACATTCGCATTTTTTTGGTCGACAACGCGGCCGATGGCCGCGAGCGCAGGGGTGGTGTCGTTAACGCCGGCCAACACTTGTTTAACGAACAGCGCGGCCGCCGTCTCCCTATCCTTCGCCTCCTTCTCGGCCTTTGCTTTGGCCTTCGGGTCTGTGGGGGCGGCCGTCGGCTTGGCTTTGGCCGCCTTAGCCTCCTTGACCTTCTCTCCCAGCGCCAAATCCACGGCCATTTGCAGCGTATGATTGGCCAGTGTTATCAGGTTAGTGGCCGTATGGGTGGGACTTATAGGCTGTTTCCTATCCTTCTCGACACGCGACCGGAGCAGTGCGTTGAGCTTCTGATTGGTGGCGTGCAGTTTACTTCGCACCGCGACGCCCATTACCGCCGACGACTTGGCCCGAGCGACTGTCTCCCGGAGCTTCACGAGCATCGCCTGTAGCCGATTGGCCGACGCGTCGCCGGCGAACCCTACGAATGGCTTACGGGTTGTGCCGTTTGTCTTCTTCAGCTTGTCTTTCAATTGATCCCATTTGGAGCCCTTTTTGGTGGTACCGCCGGTGCCGGTGCTGGTGGTTGTCTCAGTCTCTTCAGTAGTCTCCGGCGCTTCCGTATCGATAATGATCTCCTCTTCAGTTGTGATCATCTCTTCAGTGGTGGTCTCTTCCGGCGGCTCAGTAGTAGTGGTCGTGGCTTTGGTTTTGGCCTTTTTCTTCTTCGTTGTAGTGATCTCTTCCTCTTCAGTGGTGGTCTCCGGGGGTTCAGTAGTTGTAGGTTTGGTTGTGGTAACGATCTCTTCGGTGGTTGTCGTCGTCGGTGTAGTAGTAGTGGTGATATCGTCAAAATCAATGGCGGCGTAACTCTTGATACGTTTGGTGGGCGGCGCCGGAACCGATGGCGGCTCCAGCGGTGGCATCGGTGGTGGGGTTGTTGTTGTGGTCGCTTCAGTAGTAGTACTGGTGGTGATTGGCTCGGGTGTAGTAGTCGTGGTCTCTGTGGTCGTTGTGTCCGCGCTGGCGGTGTCAGTAGTGGTCTCTGTTGTGGTAATAATGGTTGACACGTCTGTAGTGGTGAACGCCGGCTGTTTATCAGGTCTGACAGCACTGGCAGTGGGTGTCAACGCCCGGGGCTTTGCTTTTGGCGCACATCGCGGCCGCTTTGGCTGCGCCGGACGGTTGTCCTCGTCGTCGGCGCCGCTGTCGTAGTCCTCGTTCTCGTCCTCTAAGGTCTCGCGCGAACGGACACCGAATCGACGGACAGTGCGGTGATGGTCGGCGATCGGGTTGTCGTCCAGACCGTCCGTCTCGTCCTCATCTTCGGGTATGCAGTCCTCGGCCTCGACTTTGGCGCCGCAAACGGTGACCAAAACTGTTTGCGTAAAAAAAAGTTATTTTAGTGATGTTGCAAAGGGTTGGTCATAATGGGTGAGGGGGGTGTATGGGAGGGGTGGGGTGTGTGTGTGTGTGTGTGGGCACACGGATGGGGACCGACACCTGTGTTAAGTACCAGAAGTGCGGCGACGACTGTGCGGATACGTATGGCTAATGGAAAACACATATTGTTTTCATTTTTTGTTAATTATAATAAACTCATTGCGAAACTAATGTATTGGAAAATTCCTGTGCTTTTAATTAATTTTATTTATTTGTTTTAATTAATCATATGTTTTGTAAATGTTTTTATTTAATTTTTCATTATATAAATTATTGGTTCTGTACTACTATTTGCTGTTATGTAGTAATAAAATAATATTGATTTTTAAACTTACCATAATTAATTTTGTTTATTGCACTTAATTTGTAACAATAAAAGTACATTAGTGAAAGCACAGTGATACATTAGTATCTATCTAGATACTAAAGTTATTAGTGTACTATTTATTTAAATATGGTAAAAATTCAAATAACTATTATATACAAGACATTATATTCACAATATAATAATGAAATTATGTGGCTTTAATTTAAATTACAATTTTAAAATGTAAACTAGCTATATACTATAATTTATATCATATAAATTACTCAAACAAAATCATTGGCAAAAATAAAATTCAAACAATCAATTTTTATAAACTTATTAAAACTTACATTTTAACTAATGTCTACAAACTATCATAGTATAAGTAATTAATTTGACTTGCTATAACTATTTACAAACGCATTAATTAATAATAAAATTAAGAAAATAATTTACTAAATTTAAATATTTATACAAAATTTCAATAATTATTTGTGAAATAAATATAATTAACAATTAATCATAATTAACAATAACTATAAAAATTTTAGCACTAATTGCAAAAATAAAAGCAAATACCGGAAACATTACGATAAATATTACATTTAATTCACCAGAATGCAATCATAAGAATTTACTTTTAATTACGTTACAAATACAATAAACATAATATAAAAGCAAACTTTTATAACACAATTCAAAAGCAAAACTACTAATACTTAATCAACAAAAAAATAAAACAAATTAATTTAATAACAAAAAAATTAAAACAAATATTTTCAAAACAAAAACATAAAACAATTGACACAAAAAAATTGTTTTTAAAAAACCCTTATCTCAGAAGTGAATGGGAGGGCTAGTTCTCTACCCCCTACCCCCTCAACCAAAAACTACTATCTCATTCATTTTATGGCATAATTATAAGCAATATTTAATGATTGCATTTAACGATAAAAACAGAACCCAAAAAAGCGTTGAGAAAAAACCAGAATTTTACTGATCATTATTTATCTAGTAATTAATTCATACAATTAATTAGATACAGTAAATCACTCGCTAATATTCACCATAATGTGTTTAATGGTGTTTATTAGATTTAACATGAATGAACTAGTTTGCAATTAGGCACAGTGTGTAAGCAAAATACAATTAATTCACTATAACTGTTATGTAATATGTATTTATACTGTTTTGTTAATTCATAATTGTATTATTATAATAATTAATACTGTAGTACACTATACAGTACAGAGAGTGTACGTAAAACAATTAAATTATTAATAATACGGCGATAATTATAGATAATATTAGCTGTAATTTTCACTTACATTCTCTCTCTCTCTCTCTCTCTCTCTCTCTCGCTATCAGAGTGTAATGAATTACACAGAATTATACGACAAAATAAAAACTATACAATCATGCTGATATATAAATAGCAGCGTATATAAAATGCCCATTCACATTCATCATCACATGCTATACCCAAACAGTGTATAAGTTATGAATTGTTTCGTTATAATGAAGTTGTAATTAATAACAACACATATACACAGTGTTTGGCAATAATAATGACAATAATCGCGAATAATATGTTTGTTTTAAACGCAAAACAGTTTTAGTTTTTTGTTGCATCAAAAAAAGTTGTGAAACTTTGAGCCATTATTTGACAAAAATTATTAAAACAAAAGTTTTGTGAGTGTTTAAAAACACATCATTGCCTATTGAAACACCCGGTGCTCTAACAGCTCAGCCAACTGCTCAAAAACATAGCCTGCATATCAATGCCCGTAGCCATGGATGACCGTACGGACCAGTTTGTGGTGTACAAGAGAGCCGAGATCGACAACTTTCAGAACCGGATTCGGGATCTGATCCGCGAGAACGACAAACTCAAGACACTTCAGCACCGGTACCACGAGTTGGAGTTTGAAAACCTGGACCTCAAACGCAAACTGACCAATAGGGAGGCCCAGTTCGCGGCGCCGGCTACCGGTGTTGACGGCCAAAGCCTTCGTAATGGTCGCGATCGGCATCTGGTGATGGACTTTATGCACACACAGGAGGCGCCCGATGTTATACCCCGTGTGGCGGTGACCCCCACCCGGAGCCACATTACCGATAGCTATAGTGGCGCTAATCATGGTGTGAATGCATGCGCTATTGATGGGCAGATTGACATCACAGCCGGTATCCCT